TTCTTTTAATTTCTTTCCACTATTTTGTAGAATTGTTACAGAAAAAAAATGTGTTTTGTTCAGCTTATGCTAGAGAATTAATTATTTTTCCAGGTTCCAATTGGTTTTCGGTTAAAAAATTATCATTTCACATGAGTAATCTTTCCAAATCATGCACTGCAACCTTATTCAGTAATCACCGCCTCAGATTGTTATAATTAAGCTATTTGAAGAATAAATTTATCACATTCACAAATTAAAAGTTTCTAACCAAGTACACATACAACTTTGGTTACATGTGAGATAAATGATCTGAATTGTACGTTGCAATAATTACAATATATAAGAGGTTGAGCATGGGATACAATACGAGCTCATAAAACTGTAGCTTGTAATGATAAGATTTTTAAGGGGGCTAATATGCGCCTTACATAAAAGATAAGATTTTGAGGAGCTGTCTGGTTTGAAAAAAAATGTTTATGTTTCCACTTTTTAATTTTACTTTTATTTACGAAAATGTGACTATTTTTCTATATTTTGGAATGTTTTGCATCGAAAACAGTGAAAACATAGAAAATATTTTCTAAAAACAAAAGGCCATTGGATTTCTATCTCCTTCTACTGTTTTGATTAAGTATGGGAAGTTGGATTCAAAAGTTCTATGTATACTTCATATTCCTTATACAGATTGTATTTCTTTTGTTGTAAGGCCTTGTTCCCAGTTGTGGGGTACTGGGTGGTTCCCTAATGGATTCTGAAATTAAAGCTTATCTAATTCTAACCAGAAGCGAGTTAGAATTTAATCATATTTGGTGGAACTTTCATATAGTTAGAATAATGGTTCATAAGTTTGCTTTGTTCGCCAGTTGCACCCTCTAATCTTGTGAGTGTCTAAATCATTTATATACCTTTGTTTTTGATGTTTTGTGTTGTTACTGTTGCTAGGTGAATTGATGTCTGGTTCAGCTGGGATGGGATTCACTCCTCATATCATCAACATTGCAAGTGGAGAAGTATGTGTATATTTTTTTATATATTTGAATAAAAAATAAGTCTCTCTGTTTTGGTGGTGTATGTTGGAGGGAAAGTAAATGAAAAAGAGAGAGTGACATAATAATATTGATAAAACAATATGGTTCCTACTTTTTTTTTGTGTTTAGACGAACATTACTGTGATTTCTGTCGGTATTTTTGTTCTCTGATTTAGGTTAAACTATTTATGCATGTGCTTAATTATTTATGCAACCAAGGTTTGGCATCTTTGGCCCAAGAAAGGTGGCACTTTGTACTATTTGTCTCTCAAAATAATGATAACTTCACTGTTAAATACTAAACAGCCACTCATGTTTCTGTACTTTTTTTCTCTTAAAAGGAAAAGTAGAGTTAGTAATGCCAAAACCATGTTGGTTGACTTTGTGCCATATCTTCTTGTATTTATGTGAATATTAATAAATTAATCTTCTAAACTTGTCTCCCTGTAGGACATTGCAACAAAAATCATGGCATTTTCTCAGCAGGGACCTAGAGCTGTTTGTATTTTGTCAGCCAATGGCGCTGTGTCAACTGTCACACTTCGACAGCCATCAACTTCAGGCGGCACTGTCACATACGAGGTTTGGCATTTTCTGTGTTATGTATTTGTTGAAGCAGATGCCGATAGAGCATGTTTGGAACCTCAACCTAAATTTAGTAAAACGAATATTTTTGTAAATCTGAAAATTCGTCTCATAATAATATATAAAATGTTTCTTGAGAATATAAAGCTTCATATATATTCTTTTCTTATCTAGAAAGCTGAGTTTTAGATGTATTCAAAGGAAATTAATTATATTAACTTATTTTTAGTAAACTTACCAACTAAAACAATTGTTATAATCGATTGTACATATGATTGATTATTAAAATAATCTACTTTTGCAACTGTCCTCTGCACACTATTATAGGTTCATATGGAACTGTGATCACATAATGACACGTGTCTACATTTATGCATGCGGTCATGCATAACAATGCACGACATTAAATGGCAATCTTTTATGAAATACTATGATTGATTGATTAAAAATTTGCATTTGTAATGTTAGACGAAAGTCTTAAGCAGAATTTGTAAACTTGAAGCATGATGTTTATTGGACAAATAATTCATAAATAAATACATTAGAATGTATGTCCATTCAGGCATGTATACAAAATGGCTTAATGGTACCAACAAACTTCAATCTCTGGGACTATTGAAACAAAAGAATCTTTTGCATTGAATCTTTTTGACCTTCTGAGTTACCATGCCTTTTTTGGTTGGTGGAAACTTAATTCCAAGGATCTTTTTGACCTTCTGAGTTACTATGACTTTTTTGGTTGGTGGGAATTAATTCCGAGGGAGAAAATGCAGGCTTCAAACAGGACCGACCTAACATTTATTTATGCCTGAACAAACTTTAAGATAGAACTTTTTTAAGCCTAAAAAAAATTCTATTACAATTAATATAATTTTATTTAACATTTGTCTGTCAAACATTTCCAAATGCAATTAAGATAATCAATTTCATTTAACTTTTAATTTTTAATCTTAATCAGCAAGCTGCATGCTTTTTACGCAGCAGAGGAAAAGATTGAAAAAGAAAAAAAGAAAAGAAAAAGAAACTAGGTGAGGGCTTTACTCACCTTACTTAGGCTGGCAATTGCTACAAATCTTTGACTATCCCATCTTTAAACGCAGATTTTGATTGAGAAGTATCTGTAATTGTTAGCCTTTGTAGTGAAAATCATAGATTCAAACCTTTGTATCAATGAGTATAATGTTTATTTTGCTTATGTTTTTATCCTTAACCAAGTCATAACTCTATATGATAATGTTTATCTCCGTATGTATATTTGATTTCTGGTGGACTTTTGAATTGATAGGGGCGCTTCGAGATAGTGTGCCTTTCAGGCTCTTACTTAGTCACTGATAGTGGTGGCTCACGCAATCGAACTGGTGGACTGAGTGTGTCCCTTGCTAGTCCTGATGGTCGTGTCATCGGTGGAGGAGTTGGTGGAGTTCTTATTGCATCAAGTCCTGTTCAGGTAACACCATTTTTAGTGTTGCCATCAAATCTTATTAAGATGATATCTCGAATTCATATCTCTGATTCCCACATGTTAAAAATGAAAACTTTCCAGCTACTCGTGTTGAAAGTTATGGACCCATTTGTCACATCTTTGTTTTGTAAAGGAAATCACTTCTTCAAAGGATAATCACTTTCAAAAGTTTTTCATGTGTTTGTTTCAAGCTTTCAAACTAATCAAAAGCTATTCTGAGTAGCTTGTCGTAAAATCAGCTGCTTCTTTCAAGTGTCTTTTTTTTTTATAATTGCAAACAAACATGAAAAGCTAGATTATTCGGATGAGGATCATATTAGACTGAATTAGTGATGGCTATAGGTGGTAGTTGGGAGTTTTCAATGGGGTGGATCAAAGACAAAGAACAAGAAGAAGGAAAGCGCGGAAGTTGCAGAAGTTGCTATGGAGTCAGATCATCAGGGAGTTCATAATCCAGTGGCACTGAACAGCATCTCACCAAATCAAAATCTTTCTCCAAACCCTTCATCTTTGAGTCCTTGGTCTCAATCGCGACCGTTGGATATGCGTAATTCCCATGTGGACATTGACTTGATGCGTGGGTGACATTTCATTCAATACACACTAGTGCTGTGTATATATATTTCAGATTCATGGTCACTCATCTAATTTTGTTGTAGTAGTAATGACAGAGTGGGAAGTACCAACAACAGAGTAGAGCCAGCTGACTTTTGCAATTGATAAATCTCACCTATCCCTACATTCATGATTATTGACTTGGGGTTGTACTCATATTTTTGTAGCTGTGAGGAATTTCAATTTGAAGATTGTATGTTCTTGATTGGTAAGATACAATTTATGTCCTATTTGGAAAAATAATTGACATTGGGGTAGATGTTTTATGTGGTTTAGGGGCATCGATTGTGAGACAATATCTATCATTGTGATTTTTGTCGTAGAACCGTCTTCTAGAAGGAAGTGACAAGGGGAACAAGGAGATTTGGTACTGCGAATGCATGATCTGAAAGCGTTTTGTTCGGTAATGTTGTGGGGTAGTGAGATCGTAGATTATCTTGTAGCTGAACACATGCACTCTACACTCCATGATCAACCAGCATCCTTAATCCAACAATACGTAAAATATAGTGGTAATCAAAGGATGAAAGGTAAGAAAGGAAAATAGAAGGATATTGTGATCATGGTTTCCTTTCTGGTTTTTGGGAATACCCCGTTTTGAAAATCAGGCCAAACTGGTTGGTTGAACTGGTTAATTGGCCAAGTGTTTGAAAAATATGAGAAATATTTTATAAGTTGGTCGAAAATTCTCGACATATGTATACATATATATGTAACATAATTTTTAACTTAAAACTAGGTTGTAGTACTTAAACTCCAACTATTATTTTTATATTATATAGGGAATGACAAGAAAGTGTCTACTTTTTGCAGCTATTTTCTTCAAGTCAAGAAGATAATTGTACTATAGCATTAATTATTAGTATCCTCATTCGAATCTGCAATCTCATTGATGCCATTTCTGATGGATACGATGAATTCATTTCTCCAGTGTTTTGAAGATCGGTCGTGAAATTTAAAGCACTGTCAGATTGTGTTCTAAACAGAGGGAACTAGTTATAGATTTACCTTAGAAATAATCAGTTAACCGTGTGCATAATTAAAGATTAAGCATAAACACAACACAATGCCTTGTTCTCATGAATCATAACAAATTTTTCACTCATGCTTTACCATTCAAGTTTACAAACATAGATAATGCTTTGACGGATTCTGTGCATGTTGATACTGATCCAGGCAATCAGAACTGTGTGACGTTTCTCTCGTTCGTGGAAATCTAAATATATATATTTGTATTGATTGTGAATGAGAAATCAAAAAGATTCAGTATTTCCAGGCAGCTTACAATATAGAAACATAGACATTCACTTAAACATTACACTTATAATATCAAGCATCAGACCATGTAATGTCAAGGCCACCCCATTCATTTGGGGGCACTCCCAATGCTTTCCAGACAGCCCTAGAAGCATCAACAATGTTGTTGGGACACGGAGGTTGATAGTCATGGTCTGCATCACATCCCTCAGTTGAGTCACACTCATCAACCACCATGGCCACCACACTTCTTCCATTCGCACTGATGGTGATGTTGTGGAGACACCTGCTTCTGTGGTTGAACCAGCCTGTAGACAGTGCGACCACAGGTGTGTCATCAGAATGGTATTGGTTGTCACATTCTGAAGGGCCACCACCATCTCCACCCTTCTGAAAACTGTTGAGAGTGAGGTAGGCCTTGGTGTGGCTGGACATAGGTGGTGAACATTCATATGTGGTGTAAAGTTTGCCTTCTATGCAGCAGTCTGAATCATTCTCTTGGTTGCATTGTCCTGGAGGTGCTTTCCTTCCTCTGATTCTCCCACTTGGCCGACACTTTTGAGCCTCAGACTCAATACAACTTGCTAAGATGAGAGTAGCTAATAAAATGAAGGATGCGTTTGAGAAAAACCTCTTCATTCTATCTATCAACTTCTCTGTTTCTGCTATTTCTTCTTCTTTTGAGTGTTTGATGCTTGAATCTTAAGATTTTACTTTCTATATATAGAGGTCTCTTGATTAGGTACATGTTTTTGCTTCGAAATATAGGTTTCTTTTAGGGTCGAGCAATGATTTATAAATTGTCTTCTTGTCAAAATGACAACCAGAAATTCAAATAACGTTTGATTTGATTTGGAACATATATTTGGATGCTAACACGTGAAACATTGTTGCCGTAGTTTAGAAAACTTGTTTTTTTTTTTATATTTTGAATAGCGCCAAAAAGTTAGTCTAAATTAATAATAGAATAAACACTTGCATGGCCATGGACGTTATTCCATATAAAAATGACCAAACCTCTGTTTATTACGAATGCCTCCACTTAATTATGACTAAAGCTACATATCCCGTTACAATGGGTTGGACCCTTTGAATCTTCTGTAGAGTCACGTAAATATATAAGGACCAGTATATATATATATATATATATATATATATATAT